TCAATTTGAACAAATTATTTCATAAACAATCAAGCTCTAATGGATTGTTAAGCATGTGAGCAATTAAAAGAAGGTGATAAGACCACCTACAACAAACGTTTAATGGGCCATGTTAGGTACGCTGAAGTAATTATAATTTATATTGTTAGGTAGAGTCCTCTGTTCCTTTTCCTTTCATTTTTATTACATTGTCCTTTTATGAGTTGAAGTGTACTTTGATCAGATGATTTCACCAACAAATGAAGGCATTAATCTTGTGTGAGATGGACTAACCATTAGGCGGGTCGGCCCGTCGTACCTTTTTGTGCTAAAATGGATACAGGTTTTCGATCTTTTGGAGGTGAAGCCTCACGAATTTGTTCAACACGGGCTGTATTGCCTAGAGAGTTTCGCTAGCCTCGGAGACAAATGCGCGCAAGAGACTCGCGAAAAGCTTAAGATTGTGGTAATTAAATAACGAAACAAGCATGCTGAACTTCCACGAATACACAGTTCTTTCGTGGATTCTCATAACATACGGTTAACTGATTTGACAGGTGGCAGGAGGTGATGGGACTGTCGGTTGGGTCCTAGGTTGTCTTGGGGAGCTTAGCAAACAGGGGAGACTGCCAGTTCCACCGACCGGGATTATTCCGCTTGGTACCGGAAATGACTTGTCGAGGAGTTTCGGTTGGGTAAGCCATTTATTTCTTTAAAAAAAATGAAAATGAACCCGTTTTATGTAATTTTTTCTTGTTTGAGTCGAGTTTTTGGAGGTCATTTGAGTTGTTTGTTGTATGCAGGGTGGTTCGTTCCCGTTTAATTGGAAATCAGCTATGAAAAGAACACTTGAAAAGATAGCCACTGGCCCTTCTGCTCGTCTCGATAGGTAGTTTTTCGGTCGATATCTTTATATTGTCCATTGCCTTAGCTGTATCAGTAAAGAGCGGGCCTTCGTGTGCAGTTGGCAGGTTTTAATATCAATGCCGAGTGGGAAAGAGTTGGATACACCTTATTCTCTCAAGGCAATAGAAGAAACACCTCTTGATCCGGTCTGTGGGTGAAGATTTAATTTGTCGTTTTTTTTTTTTCTTTTTTGCATTTAATTTTTGTTGTCTCCGCCTTTCGTAATATTCATGCCAAATCTATGTTAGGTGATTTGAGCATGCTAACTTTAACTACATCGATACTATGTATTAACTAGTTTGCCCTGTTTATCTCTAGTCTGGTTAGAATTTGTACTCATTTGTTCTGTTTAGTGTTTACCTTATGCATTTAATGGGAACAAAACATCTCATTTTCTTGGAATGATTTTCCTCTTTATATCTGTATATTATTTACTTTTTTTTTTATGGTTTGGTTATGCAGAAACTAGAAGTCGAGGGGGAGCTCCCGGAGAAGGTGTCTTGCTATCATGGAGTCTTTTATAACTATTTTAGCATAGGTCTGAATTTGAATGCCGACATTTGTACCTCCTTTTATCTGTTGATATATAATGTCCTGGATGAAAAAAACAGTTATTATTATTTTTTTTTTCGATAAAGGTATGGATGCACGAGTTGCTCACGGTTTCCACCATTTACGAAACGAAAGACCTTACCTTGCTCGAGGTCCCATCTCAAACAAGGTGAAAAATCTGACCTTTGATCAGTTTTTCGAATTTTCGGTGAAGCTGTATTAAATTTGATCTTCCAGAGCAAGAACACATATATCATTATGTTGTGAAGCGACCGTATGCATAATTATTCAAATAGCTTGTTAATTTCATTTGTTAAAAGCGATATCTTTAATTAACTTTCAATATGATGTTCTAAATTGTGTTTTACGAATGAATGCCAGATGATTTATTCTGGATACAGTTGCACGCAAGGGTGGTTCTGCACGCCGTGCAGCAGTGATCCCGGTTTAAGGTGTTGCATTTGTCACATTCCGAAAGCATCGATTTTCCATGTTCAAAAAATGTATTAATCGAACTTTATTCTTGTGTAGGTCTCTGAAGAACATCCTAAGAATATACATTAAAAAGGTTCACGCATCAAAGTGGGAGCAAATCCCTGTACCATTGAGGTCGATATTTCGTATTCATATTAATCAGTTATTTAAGTATTTTAATTTTTATATATAATGATAATCTCACTCAATCAATACTACCATTTTCTTTTTCTTACCCACCATTAGATGAGTTTTGATACATTTTGCTCCAATTGAACTGAAAATGTTTGTCTTGAAATTTCCAGTGTGAGATCCATAGTTGCTCTTAATCTTCCTAACTATGGAAGTGGAAGAAATCCATGGGGAAAATTGAAGCCCAATTATCTTGAGAAGGTACGTGCTTAATTATTTGCGTACCGTCAGCAAATTCAGTCGTAAACCTGAATATTCTGTCAAATTCTAACGTTGCCTTAGGAAAAATTGAAGATTTAGTCTTGTAATTGGCACCTAAATGAGAAATATTCTGGTGATCGCGTTGACTTTACAAAGTACCTGTAACTGCCAAAAAAAAAAAAAAAAAAAACACGTCACTTTTGGTCGTTCCATCGACAAAAGATGTCCGGTTCGTTTGCTGATGTGGATATTATTTTTTATCTATTTTCATACACGTGGCAGCCGACTAACATATCCAACTCACCAGTCGGTCAAATTTGTCGGTGGAAGGAGTAAAAGTCATTTTTTTTTGGGCAATGACAGGGTGTTCTGTTAAATCAACTCAACCACCGACTATTTCTCAATTTGGTGTCAGTTGCAGAACTAAATCTTCAATTTATCCCGCTACCTTACATAGAATATCCCGACCAAAATTTTGACAGCTCACAAGCTAAATGTTTGCATTGTCTTTAGAGAGGATTTGTCGAGGCCCATGCGGACGATGGAGTTCTCGAAATCTTTGGTTTGAAACACGGATGGCATGCCTCGATGGTGATGGCTGAATTGATATCTGCAAAACACATAGCCCAGGTAAATTTGTACTGTAAAAACTAAAATTTGAAGAAATGACTATACAATTTTCGGAAAAAAAAAAATACATAATTTTCCGAAAAACTGTACCTATGCTCTAGGTTTCGGCTGTCCGGTTCGAGCTCAGAGGCGGAGAATGGAAAAATTCATACATGCAAATGGATGGCGAGCCGTGGAAACAACCGATGGATAAGGATTTCTCGACTTTTGTCGAGATAAAGAGAGTGCCTCATCAATCGGTCATGATCGTGAGAGATTAGTTTCGGACGAAAACACGCTTTTTTTTCTTATTTTGTGTAAATTAAGAAAAAAAATTACGGTTTGTTAGCTGGAGCATCTGCTGGTCAGGTAACTATTGTTTCCATCTTCATGTTTTGTTGTATATATTTATGTCTGTATGCATTTTGAGGTTGAAGTCATTAATGATTAAAGATGAAACATGTAGACTAATTTAAAATTTCGATGCAAGTACCAAAT